TCACAAAAAAACTATAGTAGCTTCCACTTGCTTGAACTGTAGCTCTTCAAGAATTCTTCTCAACCAGACAGCTTGACAAGTACAAGCTGTTGCAGCAGTAAATTCAGTTTCTGTAGTTGACAAGGTGACAGTTTGTTGCTTCTTAAAAGACCACAAATAGCCCCAGTGCCCAACATAAAAACATAGGCCGAAGTGCTCTTTCTATCATCTTGATCTCCTGCATAATCACCGTCAGTAAACCCGAACAGTTCTAACTTTTCACCCTTATTGTAGAATAGCCCAAAATCTCTAGTTCCTTGCAAGTAACGAAGGATTCTCTTGGAAGCTAATAAATGCATTTCTGTTGGATTCTCCCTATACCTACTTATTAAGCTCACATAATACATTATGTCTGATCTTGTTGCAGTTAAATACATCAAACTGTTAATAATTTGCTTGTAAAGTGTGTTGTCCACCTTCTTCCCTTCATGATCTTTGTTTAGCTTCAAGCCAAACTCAGTTGGAGTGCTTACAGAATTGCAACCCTTCATATGAAATATATCCAAAATATCTTGTACATACTTCTTTTGAGAAATAAAGATCCTATTAGCTGATTGCACTACTTCTATGCCAAGGAAGTAATGCATCATACCAAGGTCAGACATTTCAAATTTAATCATCATAGATTTCTTGAATTCTTTAAACATGACACCATCATTTTCAGTAAATATAAGATCGTTTACATATAAGCAAACAATGAACAGTTTCCCCTTATCTCCAATTTTAACAAAAAGTGTGTGCTCATATGGACATTTGTGAAACCTTTCTTTCAAAAAATAAACCTCAATGCGACTATACCAAGCTCGTGGAGCTTATTTTAAACCATAAAGAGCTTTCTTTAATCTATACACTTTATGCTCATTTCCGATCTTAATATGACCAAAGGTTGTTCTACAAATACATGTACCTCCAAGTTTCCATGCAAGAATGTCGATTTGACATCTAGCTAGAAAATAGGCCATGAGTTCTGCGCCGCCAATGCGATCATCAATCTGATTGTATCATGTCTTGCAACTGGAGCAAAAACTTTTGTATAATCGATCCCATATTTTTGCTTATATCCCTTAGCTACCAAACACGCCTTACACTTGTCAACTTCACCTTTTCCTTTAGTTTTATTTTGAAGACCCACTTTACACCAATAGTTTTGTGCCCTTTCGGAAGATCAGTCAGCTCTCAAGTATTATTTCTTTCAATGGCATCAATTTCATCATCCATCGCCTTCCTCTATTTTTCTTCTTTGACAACATTTTCAAAGGTTGTAGGATCACAATCTGAAAATAAAGCAAAGTGAGTGATTGGATCTTCAATTTCAGTTACCTCATAGTCTTTCATCCATGCGGGCCTTTTTCGAATACGAGAAAGAGATCGAGCTATTGCATCAGCAGCTGTTGGAGTTGCTTCTAATGAATTTTCAGGAATATGGGTTGCTAGAGTTGGTTCGCTTTCAAAATCATTTTCCAAAAGAACTTGAGTTGGTTCCTGCCCATTCCAATCCGAAGTGTTTTCCTTATCAAAGACAACATCTCGGTTGGTCACAATCTTCTGGGTTAGTGGATTAAACAATTTATATGCTTTGGATGTTTCACTAACACCAAGAAAACACATTTTCCCCCTTATCATCAAGTTTCTTCCTTTTGATACGAGATATGTGCATAAGCGATACAACCAAAAATTTTAAAATAATTTACATCTGGTCTCCTTCCACTCCAAACCTCCTCGGGTGTCATATTTTGAACAACAAATGTAAGACTTTTGTTCAAGATGTGAATACTCCAATTTACTGCTTCAGGCCAAAAAGATTTTGGAATTCTCCCTCTTGCCAACAAGCTTCTCACCATATTGATGATGGTTTTGTTTTTCCTCTATGATACACCATTTTGTTGTGGTGTATAAGAAGCTGTCAGCTCTCTTCGAATGCCATGAACTTCACAAAAATCTTTAAATTCTGTTGAGCAATATTCTCTACCATGATCTGTTTGAAGGGTCTTAATGGTCTATTTTGTTTCATTTTCCACACGAGCCTTGAAGCTTTTAAATGCACAAAAAGCTTATGTTTTTTTCTGTAAAAAAATAAACTCAAGTTTTTCGAGTATAATCATTAATGAAGGTAATTAAGTATCTTTTACCTCCATTAGAAAGTGGTGTTATCGGGCCACAAATATCAGAATGAATTAGCTCCAAAACTCCTTTTGCTTGCCATGACTTTCCTTTGGGAAATTGAGAACGATGTTGTTTTCCAACAAAAAATTCTTCACAAACTTGGGAAGGAATACTAATCTGAGGAAGACCTATCACCATATTTTTCTGTTGGAGGGTCTTCAATCCACCAAAACTTAAGTGACCATGATGAAAATGCCACAACCAAGAAGGATCATTTACTTCAGTTACCAAACAAGATAACACACTTTCAATTTTCAATGAAAATAACTTGTTTGAACTCATTTGCACAATAACAATAGCTCCTCTAGTGGGATCATAAATCTCACAAACACCCTTTTGAATAGTGATTACATAACCCTTTTCTTGCAATTGACCATCACTTAAAAAATTACTTTTTAAGTCAGGAACATAAAAAACATTAGAAATTATTTCTACAAAACCATTCTTGGTTCTTATCTCAATATCACCTTTTTCCATCACCCTCATAGTAGAACAATCACCAAAACTTACTGTAGAATGAAAACCTTCATTTAAATAAGAAAAAAAAACTTACTTCCACATATGTGATTACTGCAGCCCGTATCCACATACCAAACATCAGACTCAGATTCCTGATTAGTTTGAACAATCATTAACAAAGTTTCTACTTCCTTGTTTTCAGCAAAATTTGATTGCTCTTCCTTTTCTTTGTCATTAGACAGCTTAGTATAATATTGAGAACGATAATGACCAAATTTATGACATCTAAAGCACTCTACCTTGGATTTGTCAAAATGTTGATCTCGTCCTCTGGCTTTACTCGAAAATTGATCATCATTGGATTTGAAATACTTGTTTCCATCTCTATTACCCCGAGCTCCTCTTCCTCTACCTTTACCCTTCCTTTAGAGTTTGAGAAATGAGTATAGGTAGAAGCCTTCAAAGCTTGCTCCTCTGAAGTTGAACTCCACTTCATCTTCTATTCATGACCAACAAGGAGCTCTACAATTCATCAAGAGAAAATACATCTATGTCTTTCGATTCTTCAATTGACACACAACATAATCAAAAGTTGGTGTCAAAGAACGCAATATTTTCTCCACAATGGTGACATCTTCCATCTTCTCACCATGAAATCGCATTTTGTTGTTGATCTCCATAGTCCTGGCACAATAGCTGGTAACAGATTCCCCATCCTTCATTTGTAGAGTCTCAAAATCTCTTCTCAAAACTTGAAGTTGTGCACGCTTCACTCTAGCGGAGCCTTGATTTTTTTTCTTCATGGAATCCCAAATTTCTTTGGAACTTTCTTTGCTAAGAATTATTTCCAAGATGGGACGATTAATAGCCTGAAAAGGTAATTTTTTTCCTTTAAATCTTTTAGCTTTCTCCCTTCCAACTCTGTTTTCTGGGCATCTGTCAGTACAACACCTTCTGTTGGTTCTGCTACTCCAGAAACAAGAACCGTCCAATATTCTTTAGAACTCAAGAAGTTCTCTATAAGCATGCTCCAATGATAAGAGTGACCTTCAAAGTGTGGAATGGCTGGCTGTACAAAATTTTTGGAAACCATCAAGTTCACCTTTATTTTTCTTCCCCGAAACCTGCTCTGATACCACTGATACAGAGTAGAGGAAAAACAAAAAGAGCAATGGTACAAAGTGAAGAAAAACTAAAAGAAGTGTTTAAAAGGAAATCTAACTTTCTTCATGTTGATAAAAGAAAAGAATGTGCTTATAAATAGGCTTTACATCATAACACACTAACCACGACTCTTATAAAATAGCACCAACTAAGATACTAACTTTGCTAAATAACAAATCCCTAAAGACTCGGTCAAACCCAGCAACAACTAAAACTTCCAATGAATATTAATAATATGAAATAAAACATTTAAATCTTAACAATGTCAGGCTATATGGTGGACTCTATGTGCTTCATGGTCAACAAACCAATTCTACCAAATTTCAACATTAATTCTAGCTTATACCTCTGATGCATCAAGTCTATGCTTTTTCACCTTCGATTAAGCCATCCTAATTTCTATTACCCTGAGAAATTGTTTCCTAGCTTATTTGTTCATTAAAAGCCAAAACAATTTCATTGTGAAGTTTTCAGTTTGCCAAACACAAAGAGTTTCTATCTACCTACTTATTATAAACCTTCACATTCTTTCCCTCTTGTCCACAGTGATGATGTTTGGGGCCCTTCTAGAGGGAATAACATTGATGGTAGCCGGTGGTTGGGGCCCTTCTTATAAACCGGGAGTTTGGGTGAACACAAAACAATATCAAAGGCTGGTTGGGAAAATTAATTTACTTGTCTTTTACAAGAACTGATATAGCTTTTCCTGTTGGCGGCTAATCGATACTAAGGTACTTGAAGTGCACACCTAGTCATGTTCTAATTTTTAGAAAAATTGAAAATCGAAAAGTTAAGTTTTTTCCAATGCAAGTTGGCCAGTAGAATTTTTTTTATAAGAAATGAAGATCTCGTTAAAAACCCCCTTCATAATTGCCTAGATCGGAGAGATCTCAAGGCAAAAAAATGGAAGGGAAAATGTAGACACTATATTTAGTTCGGACTTCAATTCAATATCTTAATTTTAAATTATCGATTTCGGTTGTGATTTGCAATTATTAGTATTAGACCATTATTATTTTTCATCGTGTTGTAGTAATATAGGTTCTAATCTTAATTATCATTTGAACACATACATGTGCGTACATATGGGTCATATCTATATAAATATAATTTTGGGCTAAATACTATGTAATATATGGTTATCAAATATACAAAATAAACGTATGTCATTCCTTGCATTTTTCAGGCCCGTATTTACAAAACCGGGAGCCTATTGTTACAAAGATGTCTGGAACAACCCAGTAAAACAGGCCTAAGTGTGAGGACCCAAGTGAGCTATGGTTTCCTCCTAAACTCCTGTCGCCCGATTATTAGCCGTCAAATCTAGACTTATCCAATGGTCCAAATCAAAATAAAGAAGTCATCTAGGTTTTTCCCCCTAATGACCTGCTAAAACAAGAGAAGAAACCAATAAAATTTAAATACTATAAATTAGCGAAATGGAATTTGTCTCGTGAAAGAATGAAAAAGAAAATGTTAATCACCATCGGACCGTCCATTCCATGGCAGCTCCTTCTCCGTAACCTTCACGGGCTCCACCTCTGTTTCACAAAATATACCATATAGCTCTCATCTACTTGACCCGTACCATCCGGTGTCACCTGCCCTACTGCTGCTTGCTCAAGACAGTACTGTTTTTCCAAGTACACCACCATAAAGAAAAGAAAAAGGCCCCCCGTGACTAATTATAACTAGTAATTTGCTGTTACATAATATAAACTAATATCGCTTGATTGTTTGTGTCACTAAGATCCACTCATACCGGCTTAATTTCAGGGGAATCTTGGACTAGTTGTTGGTTAATTAAGACCGAGATTTTCTTTTGGAACCTAGATACTCTCCTACAGGCTAAATAGTTTGTTTGGGTTGAGACCCAAAAGCCGAAAGATCTAGCCCTGGTGCAACTTGGTTTAATCAACCCTTGCCACACTGTCCGAGCAATAATACAGTCTCTGAATATGTGAAGATTTGACTCCATGGCTGCTCCGCAGATTGCACGAGACATGTCAGACGTCATATGCCGCTTGTAATGTTCTTCATTTGACAACAGTTTATTTCGATACAAGCACCACAACAGTAGCTTGACACGAGGAAACCCTCAATATTGGACAATCACCTTCCAATGTTGATTATCTATAGTATTATCCGGAGCTCCCAAACGAAAAGTATAGGCGCTCTTGACTGTAAACTTCTTATGTTCATCCCATCGCCAAATTGAGACATCCGGCCCTGCAAAATCCTTCGAAGGTCTAACGGCAGGAATATAAAACAGAATCTCTTGAGGTAGGAAATTCGATAGCAAGTTTCAATCCCAATTGCCATTATTTGCAACCATATCACACACCTTGATAGTACTAGCATGATCATCCAAAGAGTTGAAGGACAAGTTCCTTAATGGACCAAGATCTTCAATCCAATTATCATCCCAAAAAGCTACAGTGCGACCATCGCGAACCCTCCATGTAATGCCATCTTTTACCGTGGGGCAAACCAAACTCATACCCCACCAAAGTCTTGAGTAGCCCGAACGATGAGACGTGTTGAAGAATCGGATAAAGAAAAAACGAAAAAATATAAAAATTTTTACGAGGTTCAACAATATACATACGTTCTCGGTGCCTAGGCTCGCTATAAGTTTTATTCAATGTTTCATAAATTTATATTACATCTTTATTTATAATAGATAAATATGATATATAATTACAAAATTAACTCTTATGCCGTATATTTATGAGTCATACCTTTCATAATTGAAGCATGCCCGACAACTTTATAGTTCGAGCGCATGACCCGAACCCAAAACTGAGTATGATCGATAATACGAAAAGCTGATTTCATCAGAAATGCTTCATTTTACGTTTGCAATTGTTTAATCCCCAATCCACTGAGATTGGCCGGCTTGCACACTTCCTCCCATCCAGGGATTCAAAAAACGACCGTGTAACGATATAACAGTTGTTATATCGCGGTATCGACGGCTTCCGTTATCGATATCAGTCGAAATCACGATATAAAACGGAATCACACCCCATTTTTTCCGTTAATTCCCGTTACAATATCAAACATCTTGGTGAACTTTGGAAGACCCATTATCGCTCCGAGTCTTGGGGTCTGATTTCCGAAGCCTTTTGATGATGATGATAGACTTGGATCGGCGACGAACAGGCCACCGGAGGAGAGAAGAGAGACGCTTGATTCTCTCGTTGAGGAGTTTAAGCATGGTGGAGAAGTGGGTTGTGTTTGTGAACGAAATGGGTTGTAAAGCTTTTGAAGATTGCATGAGAGAAGAAAGAGTTACACAGAAGATTTCAAAGAGTTTGGAAGAAAGAAATAATAAACAGTTTAATGGCATAAAGCAAAGATTAGGTTATAAAACACGGCTGGTTGGTTTTTGTTAGGAGTGGAAGAGTAAAAGGTGACTTCCAAGAAAGGGTATGCTGACTCGTGACAGTAAAGCAAGGGTTAAATGTGACTTTTTATTCTTCCAATACAGTGAGGAGGGTAAGGAAACATTGCCAACTGCTCCCCATAAAATATATATATATATATATTGCAATTTGTAGGTCTTTTAATTTAATATATATATTTTTGGCAAGTGAAGTTAAAAATCTTTCTCACTTTGGAAAGTTGTTAAGTGCCTTTAAATTACATTCATTAAAATAACAAAAAAAAAGAAATAAATTTGTTAATTCTTTTGTGAGTATTTTTAATTTTACAACTAATGTATCTTACACTATTTTTTTATCAAAATAAGATTTATAATAAGTAAGTTCAAATAATTAATATGGTTCATTATTCAAATTAAAATGTTTACTTCATCTTTTTGTTTAGAAAACATTTTAGGTTAAACTATATTAAATATATGTCAATTTCGTTTAGAAAATATTTTAAAAACCATTAAAATTTATTTCTTATAATTATAATTATTTTTATTATGTTTTAAGATAAGTTGTGTAAAATTTAAAAAAATTCACGACCGCGACACCCGTAGTAACCGCGATGACATCTGTTATGTCCGCAACAGCGATAAACGCGACGCGACCGAAAACGTGACCGTGAACGCTATTTAAAACCCTGCCCCATCGGACAAAATGAGTTTTCCGTTTTTCATCTCACCCACTCCAAAAGAATCGATGAATCAAGCGTTCAATGTCATTACAAATAGCCCGTGGAAACACGTTTGCATAGCATATGATGGTATAGCCAAGAGAACTGATCTGACAAACGTGACTTTGTCAGCAAGAGACAAAGTTTTCGCCTTCCACCCCGACAAACGATCATGGACTTTTTGAACAAGATACTGATCCGTGGCTTTTGTAATCTGATTATGGAGCAGAGGAACCCCTAATATCTTCCCAAATCATCCACACAAACATATTGAGATCAGCTACTAATATCAGCTCGAATATGGTTAGAAACATTTTTAGAAAAACAAATAGTCGTTTTGTCAAACTCACCTTATGTCCAGAGCTGTAGCAGAAATCATTGAACACTCTCTGGATTACATCAAGCTGGTCTAAAGTCGCCTCAGCAAACAGGACAAGATCATCAGCAAAGAAAAGATGCGATAGTTGAGGAAAAGACCAGGACAGTTTTATCGGCTTCCAATCCCCCGCATCCACTTGACTTTGAATGACTTGGGACAATCGCTCCCATACAAAGAACAAACAAATAAGGTGACAGTAGGTCCTTCTGCCGTGTTCCCCGCGAAGGAGAAAAATATTATTCAGCTTTGCTTCCGTTCCAAAGTACATGAGTTGATACATTTTGCCCACAAGCCATGATCAAATTACGCATAGTTAGGGTTGTAAAAAGCTGATCCGACCTGTAAAACTACCGAAACAGACTCGAGTCAAAACTGTTTTTGACATGCACTGTGGCGATCCGAAACCGATTCGAGTCGGAACTGGTGTTGACCTGAACCCGATTTGGACCTGAAATTGTGGATCTGAATCCGACCTGCATCCGACCTAAGAACGACCATAACCCGAATTGAACCGAAAATATGATACCCGAATCCGACCTGCATCCGACCATAACCCGAATTGAACCGAAAATATGATACCCGAATCCGAACTGATATGAACCCGAACCCGAGATTGACCTAGTAAATAACTGGTATTACCCGACCTGTTTTCAACCTGACTTGTTTTCAACCTGACCTGTTTTTAACATGACCTGTAAATGATCCGACTTGTTAATTATCTGATCTGATATTTACATGACTTATATATTACTATGGAAATCTTATAAATTATTAGTTTTTTAGCTTATGATGTAATTAAAATATTAATATGATTACTTTTTAAATGATAATAAAATATTTATTATGATACTTATATTAGTAAATAGACCTATTATATAAAATTATTTAATAAAATTAATAAAATTATTTAAATGTAAATTAGATAAAACATTATTAATAATGCAAAGAAAAATTAATATAGTTTAATTTATATAAATTATATAGTTTAATTTATATAAAAAAATAATATTAATAATAAAAGTATTTATTATGTAACATATATTAATGGTTTACCTTAATAATATGAATACTTTTGGCAATAAAATAATAATTAAATTGATAATAATTAAACATGATCAATTCTCTAAAATATAAATATAAACTATACCGTTTAATTTTTGTACAAAAAATTATCTAACAATTATAACATAAATGAAAATTAATATAAAATATAAATTTAATTGATAATGATAATTTAAATAACATTTAATATAAAATTTGAATTATATTTGAGTCAATTCAAGTTCAATACAATAAAATGAAGAAAAAAATTAAAAAATTTAAGCTCTCAGATCTTATAACAAAAATGTTATAAGGCTAAAAGTCTAAATTTGCTACCAGAAATTTCTTCATCGAGCTTTTATATCGAAATAGCTGTCAACATTGTTAAATTACGGACAACTTTTAAAGCTACCAACATAATTTAACATGAGTAGCTATTTCGAAAAAAATGACAGTTTGAACAATATATTTAAGTCAGACCAATAAAATAAAATACAAGGCAACAACAGGAAGTAAGCAACAGGCAACAGGAAACAGCAGGCAGCAACAGGCAGCAACAACAACAGAAGGCAGATTTTTTGCATTAAACAAACATTTAATCAGTGGTAAAGCCAAAGGGAATATGATGGCCGACAGTGCCAAACATTTCTGATTTTACCAAACCCTTACATAATAAAACATTCAACATTGTTTATGAAAATAAAATTAATATCAAGTAAAATCAGAATGTTTTACTTTATATATAAACATCCTAAAAAAAACAAAAGTATCAATTAAAATTTATTTTAAATAAATATAATAAACACAATAAGTAATTAATAAGTAAAAGTTACCTGTAACAGAAGAAACAAGACTGAATCGTAAAATTCAAATGAGCATTATCGACAGCATGGGACTTTTTAATTCCCAAATAAGGTGGTATGGGGGTAACGGTGCACGTTCTTCCGTCTATGGTGTGATTTTTTTAATACTTTGGAGAAGTATAATAGGCGCACGTGGTTTCAATATTTATACTAGCAATATGGTGACTAGTAGAATGGTCAAAATCAGATTTGAATTAATTTAGTTTTAAAAATAATTGATTAACGTCTCGTTTATTATTCTTATTTAATTAGATTAAGCTTTTAGTTTGCATAAATTAATGGAGCGTCATTCAATGATAATCCGGCGATTTTGACCAACTTTGGAACTACAAATTTCATGCATTTTATTCTTTACCTCTGCCTCTAATCATTTTTATGTATTTCACTATTCACAGTTCATTGAATTAATTCAACAATTTTTTTAGTTTTGAAATATTTTTTAAAAATACACGAATTAATTCAAAAATATTTTTTTTGAAATACTATAGGTTATATATAAATATAGTTTATATACACTATACATAGTTTATACATACATGATACATGTACTATAAGTTACATATATAATTTACATGTATACATATATTATAGGTTATATATATATATTAACTATTATTTATGTTTAGGGTTTAGAGTTTATAATGTAAGGGTTAAGGTTTAGGATTTAAAGTTTATGGTTTAGGGTTAGAGTCTCAATTTTAGGGTTTAGGATTTTTATATAATATATACTTTATTAATTTATATAGTTTATGCATATTATTTCTATAAACTATATAAGTAATTTACTTTATATGATTATATATATATATATATATATACATAGTTTATACATACATGTACTTACATATAAGTTACATATATAGTTTACATTACATGTATATATACTATAAGTCACATATATAGTTTACATTATATGTATACACACTATAAGTTACATATATTAACTATTGTTTATAAACTATAAGTTAATGTTACATATATAATTTATATAATCTATTTGTGGACACCAAATTTTGTCCATATGCATATAGTATATTATATATATATATTTACTTAAATTAATACATTTCTTTTTTTTCTCTTTACATACCCATCACAATAAAGCCCATCAGAAATGTGTGAGACCTAATAGACCTAGCTTTTCAGCCCGAAGACTCCCCAACGCTGTTTCTCACCCAGTTTGGTCAAATCGCCGCTTCTCACGCAACCAATGCCGAAATCCTCGG